GAGTATCTGGAGTGCAAAGGATGCAAGAAGAAGTATCCGGCTTGGTCAGAGGGCATACTAAGGCAGCTGGACCTGGGGCACCGCACCAAATTTCCTGCCGTCCTCACATACAGGTAAAGCACACTGATGATAACAGCAATGCATTTTAATGTGCTTGTGCTGTGTAACATGTAAAGGGCTACTTTCATGCTTCACTGGCATTAAAGTGAAGCATGCCATTGACACTGACCAGACACATGTGGCCTTCTGCAGATACGCCTGTGACATCCGCGTGGTGGTGCTGATGCGGGAGAGGACCCAAGGGAATAGTGTCACACAGCTGTATCACAAGCTGACGGAAGAGCACAGCGCAGCGTGGATGCGCCGTTCTTTGGAATATCTCACAGCTTGTGAGCCCTTTGCTGACTCGTCCGTCATCCAGCCGCCATTGTTCTCCAGCCCCCCGCCTCTGCTGCCTCTCCCCAAACCCAAGTGGCTGCTGTCCGTGTACGCCAGGGACGTGCTCTCGCGGCTGCCCGAGGTCAGGGCCAAAATTACATCTGTCTTTGGCTCTGTCCTCAAAATGGACTCCACCAAAAAGGTACAAAACAGTTTGAATGTAGTTTTAATTTACAGTTTTGGTTATCTGGCTTCATTTGCATTGTTGTTTTAATTTTTTAGGTCACCAAGAAGCTGGCCGGTGCCGCTGCCAACACCGCCGGCTGGTGCACCAATGTCAGCAATGAGCACGGCCAGGTCTTGGTGTCTGTCCTTACAGCCGCGGAGGGGCACGGCCTTTGGCCTATGGCAGCAGGCTTGGTGAGGCGCTACCGGGAGGCGGGAGTGGCACCGCCCTCTGTGATGTACGTGGACCGGGACTGCTGCAGCCCGCACGCTCGGGGCCAGGCGCAGGTCGCAGCTATGTTCAGCGACTGGACAGAGCTGAAAGTGCGCCTGGACATCTGGCACTTCATGCGTCGGTTTGCAGCAGGCGTCATCACGGAGGCTCACCCGCTCTACGGCACCTTCATGGCGCGGCTGTCCAGGTGAAGGTGGAACTGTGGCATATTTAGTCATTTTTAGCCGCATATTTAACATCACTGCCAACACAGCAGGTCTGGGCTTCATGTGTGCAAAGCTCCATGAAACGAGACAGAATATAATTAAATGCCGTTGAATAAAATAATGTCAGAAATGTAAAGTTGATTTCAGTTAACAGATGCAATTGATTACATTGGCAGAGCATGTTGTCAACTAACATCTAGAGTCAAACTATAAAGTAGCTTCAATCAAACCTAAAACTCTGCACATTCTTTTGTCGTTTATCTATTTTAGTGTTTAGTCAAAAGTGTTTAACTCAAACAGACACATTGTCAACATGAACCCTGTCCAGGTGCATCTTTGAGCTGGACCCGGACGTCGCAGCTCTCCGGCTGGCCAAGCAGGGCGAGCTCCTGGCCAGAGGGGCGGGCCCGGTGTCCCAGAAGGCGCTTGACCGACAGATCACCAGACGGGAGCTGGCGCTGCACTGCCGGAGAAGGACCCGGGGCGTGGAGGAGACGGCCAGGAGGATCAAGGCGCTCATCGATGAGCTGGACGGCGAGAGTGGGAAGGACACTCTGGGAGTGCCGCTGCTGGACCACGAGCGCATCCAGCAGATCTGGCTGGACCAGCGGCGACACATCACCTGCATTCAGGACCCAGAGGGCTTCCCCCTCTACCTGAAGACAGGCACCCTGAAGAAAGGTGGTGTGGAGCTCTGCTGCTACCGCTGCGCTCGTGGCTCCACCTCCCTGGAGTCCTTCCACCTCCACCTCAACCGCTTCATCCCAGGTAACTCATTAGCATTTTAATGTTTCTCTGCTTTTCTCCTGATCGTTTTAAGTAGAATACATTTCCTCTGACCTGCAGGGACCAGCGCCAGTGCCGCACACTTCCAGGCCTACCTACTGGAAGGCCTGATGCGCTGGAACCAGGACCGGATGGAGGAAGCGGTTGGGGGAGCCGCCCAGTTGAGGATTTACGGCAGCGTGGAGAGGGAGGCGCTGGACAGACTAAGCCGGAAGATCCTCAAGGCTCCATTGGATGAGCGCTACCAGCCTCCTGGAGCGTATACTGGTCAGAATGATCACTGTTGACTCAGAAGGGTTGTGCAAAACTCTCACAAGACAAGCAATTATTCAGCTGAATAGCAAAGTGCAACAGTTTATTTATTTATTTGGTTTTTTTATGTTCTCAGTTATGTTATAGTACAGATACAAAAGCAGCACATTTGATTTAAAATACCACTTTTTAAATGTACTTTGTAAATAAAACCTAGACTTCTTTCACACTGAAAGAGTTAAATGTAACGTTTTTTATAAAATTTTATGAAAAGGTTTTTTGGCACAAAGGGGAGTGATGCCTGCTTCAAGGTTTAACCAAGTCGTATCTGAAAGTTTCCTTCAGTGCAGTGAATTGCCTTTTCATTAACTTTATGCTTCTACTTTACTTTTCTGCCACTGCTGACTTGCATGGATGAATACTTATTTTGTTCCAATTCCGGACTATGTTCTCTTGCAGGAGAACTCCTTGGGATGGAGTATCTGTACAGCCAGTCCGGTCGCTCCCTGACTGTCGTGGTCGACCAGGAAGAAGAGGATCGGTTGGTGGAGAGTATGGAGGATGGGGAGGAGGCTGACGACGGCTTCGTAGAGGAGGAACCGGAGGACCTGACGCTTCCCGTCCTCTATGAGGCCCTCAACCCTGAGGACAGCAGCATCTCCCTGGCCTCGCCCTCTCTTCCTCAGGGCCGAACACATCATCCATCCAAGGAGAGTCTCCGCCACGGCCCACCGCCCAGACGGATGCAGCGCCCGCTCCTGCAGGGTCCTCTGGGTCCAGCGGTCCACTCCAGCTCCCCGTGAGTAGATTACTCATCAGCTGCTACTCTGTCTACCTGCAGATTGTTACTAATATTGTACGTGGTTTAATGCTGACATTTTACCTGACATTTTGTATTTTAATTCTTCTATGCAGGCTCCGGTTCTTGGCCCTGATGGCATCCCTGGCTGGGACAAGGTGCAGGACTTGGCTGAGTACCTGGTGTCCCTCCGTCAGGCGCTCTACCTGGAAGAGCAGCAGGTCACAGAGGTCATCCGCCTGTGGGCCGATCTTCCAGATGGAGACAAGAGGAGGCTCCATTACCAGTCAAGACACCAGCCCAAACTGGTCCATGGACGCTTCAAGGCTCCCAAGAATACCGGCGTCACACCTGGAGTGGAGAGTGTGAAGAGATGTCTGATTGGACATCCGGGGGGGCCTGCCCAGTGGCCCAGCACCAGTCGCGTGGTGGAGGCCATGTGCATCAAGCTGTGCTCGATGCATAAGTCCCCAACCAAGAAGGCTGGTGTGAGGCTTCCTCGATGGACCAAAGTCCTGACAGACTATCACCACATCCGGGACCTGGTCCTCCACAGCCAGCCCCTCATGGAGGCCACATCTCTTCAGCTGTTTCTCTTAAATCAAAGGACCTTGACACAGTGGTAAGTATGTTTCTTTGTGGGTTTTTTTTCTTTTTTGTAAACAGACATTTGAAAGAAAGGTCTGTTTCTTATGATGTTATGACGTTTTTGTAACTGCAGGTTTAATCGGAGGGAAAAACCAGGAGCTGAGTATTTTGACCCAGGGCCTTGCTAGTGACGACCGCATCGCTGTGGCCGGCTCTCAGCTTCCTGCTCCACGGGAACCACTGAGCCAGACTCCAACAACTTCAGGGGCCAAATATGAGTTTGTCTTGCCCCCAAACAGGGCGGGTCAGGCTCCCAAGCTGCGGCCAGGCAGACACCCAGCCAGTGCCACGGCGCTGCGGCCCATCTTACCGGCAGCTCCAGTGCCAGGACTCCAGATCACGCTAGGGGGTCAGCCGGGGTCAGCACTGACAGGTGCAGGTGATCCCCCAGCAACTCCTGTCCTCACTCCACCTGTCCTTCTGGTGGGAATGCCAGTGGCTCCTCTGCCAGCTGCCCCTGTGCCCCGCTCCACAAAGAGGAATCGGCGACGCAGGGCAGAGGAAGAGGCCGCCGGTGTGCAGAAAAGGAGGTACACCAGGAAGGTGGCATTCAACATGTGTGGGACATGTGGCCATCCAAAGACAAAATATTTTGGCCACAGCCGTTTTGGCAGCGCCACATTCTGCCCGGGCAGCGCTGGTGGGCAGTCTTTGGAGGCCTGGCTGGCAGAGCAGCGCCAGCAAAGACCTCCACAACCATCACAACCTCCACAACCATCACAACCTCCACAACCATCACAACCTCCACAACCTCCACAACCATCACAACCTCCACAACCCCTACCCCCATAGGTGGATGTTCATTCTGTAAAAATGTAAATAAATCTTTTGTACTTTTTATTTATACTTGTGTATTTTTTATTGTGATTTTTTTCCTCCAATTTATAGTACAAGATACTATTCATTATAAGTGGAAGTGTGTTCTTCTCTGAATAAAACCTGTTCACAGAATCACTTTGTTGTGCTGCTTTTAGTTGTTTTGATCTGGAGTATGCAACGTTTACTGAACAGCAGGGGCTCAGGTAAGGTGCTGCTCATCGCTTGAACTTTGACTCCTGTGGGATTTCAGGCTAGTCTTTGAAAGGTCAAAGAGCAGCCTAACACAGTGCAGTTACACTGAGGTGTCAGAAAGCTTAAGTTCTCATAAGATCATATTACGATGTAGGTACATATTGTTACTGATTTTACTTAAATATGTATTTTACACTCTGAACTTAATTTAACCTGATACATATTATAAACAATACAAACAAATAGATAAAAAGTATGTAAAGGTGAAACGAAACAATAAAAAAAAAATCCACGACTCAAAATTCCGACGTAGATTCTGCGCTTCTGCGAGCGGTTTCACAAAGTGGCAGAGGACCGGCGCGACCCTGTGGGTCGCTGGTTCGCGACCCGCCTTCGATACCTTGAGATAAACAATTTCAAATCTATGAACTACAATTACACGCTAAAATGCGAACGAAGTACACACCATTCACGAGTCTGTGAAAACTCGACCTGCTTAAGCTCAGGGGCCATGCTAATCTTCTCTGTATCGTTCCAATTTTATTATATGTCCTAGAGAACTAGGACACTAGCACTGCTCTCTCAGAGTAGTATTCATACCTCTTTGGCCCACCTATTTCTTACTCATGGTTTCACTTTCTCTACCATAACAAAAGAAGACCTCCAAACATGAAGGTCTGATGCTAAATAACCTTTTACTTCCTACCTGTATATGAGTACTTTAAAAATTCACCCAAACTGTCCACAAATTCATCGTTCATTATTCTGACCTGGACTTTTTTATGCACAGATGCATGATGGGTAATCGTGCGTCTGATTACCCATCACTCTAACCCTTACCCTCTAACCCTAACCCTCCTAACCCTAACCCCTCTATCAGTTTACTTTCAGATAGAAATATGGTAGGCTTGCCATTAACTGTGATAATAAAACACAAATATGATTGTTTTTAATATCTATGATAAAATTGAATGAGGACCACATGAATGAAAGAGAAATCTGGACTGCTCCGATTTAATCAAGGCATATGATGTGTAAATCTCTTCTGTGTCCTGTTTGTCCAACAGATGGCAGTACTAAACCAAAGTCCAGAACAAATCCCCTATTATTATGCAATAATTTGTAAGCCATTTTCTTAGATTAGGAAAAAAATACTACATCAAACAAATTCCAACTTGAACCCCATGTTGGCCCTGTACAGCCTCTGCATTTTATCAAATTCCTCCTGGGGATTTTGATCGATCGGTTTCAAACTTGGTCAGTTTGTTCAGAAGGCACGGCCGAGTCAAAGTCATCAGCATGCATGGGGCATGGCCAGGCCTCGAATTTGACATCCCTCCATGAAACATGAAACTGTTGTATCTCTTACACAAAATCTCACTGAGACACCAAACCTCCACGGATTGATCATCACCGGTTGTCCTACAATACCCAATGGTGGAACAATGACATCACGTAAGCCACACCCACTGAGAACAGGAAGTGTCACGTTTTACTGTGAACGGCCTCGTTCTAACCCTTTTGACCAAATCAACATGAAACTGTGGCAGAGACAAAAGACATGTTGGTGTGATTGGGTTTCAAACAACGCCTGGTTTTGCTGGAGGATGTGGGCGTGATTGAATCACCTGTGATTTTGTTGTCATACATCGGGCTCCAAATTCCATGGATTTAAACCGAGCTGCACTAAACTCACTAGGATCTTACTAGGATCCACCCTTATCCACACCTAAAAGGGAATCCACAACAATATTTGGTGGGCGAAGCCTAGTTCTTCTACACTGCCCCTTGAATATTTTCTTGGAAAAAGCCCCAGAAACTCAACAAAAACTCAGTAATTTTGGATCAAAATTCATATTAGATAGCAGTTCTTATTAGGGACATATAGGGCACCTAGCATCTAGCTATGCACCAGCGAGTTAAATTAGAGTGACACAGTCCCTGTAGAAGTTCAATATTTTTCAGATTGAGGCGCACTACACAAATTATGCAATGTAATTTAACTTAATTTAAAGTTCAAGAAAATGAGGAACGCTTCACGAATTTGCGTGTCATCCTTGCGCAGGGGACATGCTAATCTTCTCTGTATCGTTCCAATTTTATTATATGTCCTAGAGAACTAGGACACTAGCACTGCTCTCTCAGAGTAGTATTCATACCTCTTTGGCCCACCTATTTCTTACTCATGGTTTCACTTTCTCTACCATAACAAAAGAAGACCTCCAAACATGAAGGTCTGATGCTAAATAACCTTTTACTTCCTACCTGTATATGAGTACTTTAAAAATTCACCCAAACTGTCCACAAATTCATCGTTCATTATTCTGACCTGGACTTTTTTATGCACAGATGCATGATGGGTAATCGTGCCTCTGTTTACCCATCACTCTAACCCTAACCCTCTAACCCCCTAACCTCCTAACCCTAACCCTCCTAACCCTAACCCTTCTATCTGTTTACTTTCAGATAGAAATATGGTAGGCTTGCCATTAACTGTGATAATAAAACACAAATATGATTGTTTTTAATATCTATGATAAAATTGAATGAGGACCACATGAATGAAAGAGAAATCTAGACTGCTCCGATTTAACCAAGGCATATGATGTGTAAATCTCTTCTGTGTCCTGTTTGTCCAACAGATGGCAGTACTAAACCAAAGTCCAGAACAAATCCCCTATTATTATGCAATAATTTGTAAGCCATTTTCTTAGATTAGGAAAAAAAAAATACTACACCAAACAAATTCCAACTTGAACCCCATGTTGGCCCTGTACAGCCTCTGCATTTTATCAAATTCCTCCTGGGGATTTTGATCGATCGGTTTCAAACTTGGTCAGTTTGTTCATAAGGCACGGCCGAGTCAAAGTCATCAGCATGCATGGGGCGTGGCCAGGCCTCGAATTTGACATCCCTCAATGAAACATGAAACTGTTGTATCTCTTACACAAAATCTCACTGAGACACCAAACCTCCACGGATTGATCATCACCGGTTGTCCTACAATACCCAATGGTGGAACAATGACATCACGTAAGCCACACCCACTGAGAACAGGAAGTGTCACGTTTTACTGTGAACGGCCTCGTTCTAACCCTTTTGACCAAATCAACATGAAACTGTGGCAGAGACAAAAGACATGTTGGTGTGATTGGGTTTCAAACAACGCCTGGTTTTGCTGGAGGATGTGGGCGTGATTGAATCACCTGTGATTTTGTTGTCATACATCGGGCTCCAAATTCCATGGATTTAAACCGAGCTGCACTAAACTCACTAGGATCTTACTAGGATCCACCCTTATCCACACCTAAAAGGGAATCCACAACAATATTTGGTGGGCGAAGCCTAGTTCTTCTACACTGCCCCCTTGAATATTTTCTTGGAAAAAGCCCCAGAAACTCAACAAAAACTCAGTAATTTGGATCAAAATTCATATTAGATAGCAGTTCTTATTAGGGACATATAGGGCACCTAGCATCTAGCTATGCACCAGCGAGTTAAATTAGAGTGACACAGTCCCTGTAGAAGTTCAATATTTTTCAGATTGAGGCGCACTACACAAATTATGCAATGTAATTTAACTTAACTTAAAGTTCAAGAAAATGAGGAACGCTTCACGAATTTGCGTGTCATCCTTGCGCAGGGGCCATGCTAATCTTCTCTGTATCGTTCCAATTTTATTATATGTCCTAGAGAACTAGGACACTAGCACTGCTCTCTCAGAGTAGTATTCATACCTCTTTGGCCCACCTATTTCTTACTCATGGTTTCACTTTCTCTACCATAACAAAAGAAGACCTCCAAACATGAAGGTCTGATGCTAAATAACCTTTTACTTCCTACCTGTATATGAGTACTTTAAAAATTCACCCAAACTGTCCACAAATTCATCGTTCATTATTCTGACCTGGACTTTTTTATGCACAGATGCATGATGGGTAATCGTGCGTCTGATTACCCATCACTCTAACCCTTACCCTCTAACCCTAACCCTCCTAACCCTAACCCTCCTAACCCTAACCCTTCTATCTGTTTACTTTCAGATAGAAATATGGTAGGCTTGCCATTAACTGTGATAATAAAACACAAATATGATTGTTTTTAATATCTATGATAAAATTGAATGAGGACCACATGAATGAAAGAGAAATCTGGACTGCTCCGATTTAACCAAGGCATATGATGTGTAAATCTCTTCTGTGTCCTGTTTGTCCAACAGATGGCAGTACTAAACCAAAGTCCAGAACAAATCCCCTATTATTATGCAATAATTTGTAAGCCATTTTCTTAGATTAGGAAAAAAAAATACTACACCAAACAAATTCCAACTTGAACCCATGTTGGCCCTGTACAGCCTCTGCATTTTATCAAATTCCTCCTGGGGATTTTGATCGATCGGTTTCAAACTTGGTCAGTTTGTTCATAAGGCACGGCCGAGTCAAAGTCATCAGCATGCATGGGGCGTGGCCAGGCCTCGAATTTGACATCCCTCAATGAAACATGAAACTGTTGTATCTCTTACACAAAATCTCACTGAGACACCAAACCTCCACGGATTGATCATCACCGGTTGTCCTACAATACCCAATGGTGGAACAATGACATCACGTAAGCCACACCCACTGAGAACAGGAAGTGTCACGTTTTACTGTGAACGGCCTCGTTCTAACCCTTTTGACCAAATCAACATGAAACTGTGGCAGAGACAAAAGACATGTTGGTGTGATTGGGTTTCAAACAACGCCTGGTTTTGCTGGAGGATGTGGGCGTGATTGAATCACCTGTGATTTTGTTGTCATACATTGGGCTCCAAATTCCATGGATTTAAACCGAGCTGCACTAAACTCACTAGGATCTTACTAGGATCCACCATTATCCACACCTAAAAGGGAATCCACAACAATATTTGGTGGGCGAAGCCTAGTTCTTCTACACTGCCCCTTGAATATTTTCTTGGAAAAAGCCCCAGAAACTCAACAAAAACTCAGTAATTTTGGATCAAAATTCATATTAGATAGCAGTTCTTATTAGGGACATATAGGGCACCTAGCATCTAGCTATGCACCAGCGAGTTAAATTAGAGTGACACAGTCCCTGTAGAAGTTCAATATTTTTCAGATTGAGGCGCACTACACAAATTATGCAATGTAATTTAACTTAACTTAAAGTTCAAGAAAATGAGGAACGCTTCACGAATTTGCGTGTCATCCTTGCGCAGGGGCCATGCTAATCTTCTCTGTATCGTTCCAATTTTATTATATGTCCTAGAGAACTAGGACACTAGCACTGCTCTCTCAGAGTAGTATTCATACCTCTTTGGCCCACCTATTTCTTACTCATGGTTTCACTTTCTCTACCATAACAAAAGAAGACCTCCAAACATGAAGGTCTGATGCTAAATAACCTTTTACTTCCTACCTGTATATGAGTACTTTAAAAATTCACCCAAACTGTCCACAAATTCATCGTTCATTATTCTGACCTGGACTTTTTTATGCACAGATGCATGATGGGTAATCGTGCGTCTGATTACCCATCACTCTAACCCTTACCCTCTAACCCTAACC